CTGGCGTTATTCGATGTGTTTATTGCAGAGATACTCTTAGAGTTGGAATGATGGATGATCAAGATTATCTCTCTGAAAATGGGGAGGCTCAGTGAGGGAGACCACTTGTGTTATGGTACGTCTGAGCCTGAGCTATACCCACATCTCTGGAGTTTTCTGTGCATTAGTTCGAGTGGGGAAATGATGGATGCAAAGAGATGGAGACGCAAACCGGGGCTGCAGGCTTGGTAGGCTATTCTATACCTATGCAATGCTAGAAGAGATACTCAAAATCTGGCTTCCTAACAAGAGAAGCAGTTTATTTTTTCTTTCAATTTTATATTTCAGAAACAAATTCATGTTGTATCACTGCAGTTAGTTTTCCTTTCCTCTTTGGACCACGAATCAGAGGTTTATGGTGGGAAGGAACTGAGGGAGGCTGGGTTTGGGTTTGGTGTTCTTCAGTTCAGCAGTCACCCATTTCTTCCCCCTGCAGCCATCCATGTCATGGTGTACAAACCATCTCTGGAGGAGATGGAGCCATCAGGCCTGGCTGGGGCTGGTCTTAGAGATCAATTAGTTCTGGGCTTAAACCAGCTGAACTAAGATGGTGCAGCGTGAGCGCTGTGAGCTTGTTTCTGCTTTTGCTTAGGTTTGTTGCCATAAACTCCATGGAATTAAGTCTCTTCTGAAGTTAAATGTGAGGGTTTGGATGCTGGCGTGTTCTCCCTCTGAGTTTCATCCTTGTGACCACTGGCTGGAGGTGTGCTGGTGACACCAGGGTCTGCCCTGTGCCTCTGCTCCTCAGTTTGGGGCCGGAGGTCAGCAATACAAAAAGGCACAAGTGCACTGCTTTGAAAAGGGGAAGAGGGAAAGAATAAGTTAAATCAGAGGCCAAACATTAACTTGGCTTCAGGAAATGCCGCGTTAAGAAGAGTTGTTGGTGCTGTGGAGTGCTGTACCACTGCAGGTGGCCTCGCTCCGCTCTGCATCCTAAGATGCAAAGCGACTCTGATGTCCTGTTCTGCTCTGGATCCACCAGACAGCAGTTTTAAAGACGTTGTGTGGGTTTGTTAGCTCTTTTTTCTGTGCCTTTTAGCTTAATTAATCAGTAACATCCTTAGGAGATGAGAGTCTTGCTGTGTTACTGCCTCCGTGACAGAGGAGCTGTGCTGAACCCTGCTGTCAGTGGCAGAGGGCAGGGGCTGAGGATGGAAGTAGGAGATGCTGGAAGCTCTTTATCTGGACAGGACACATGCACAGCTCCTGCACAGCTTTATTTTGGGTCACCAGCTCCTCAAACACATCCTCTGGTACTAATACCAGTGGCTAAGTGATGTGGAGCCGGTGAGCGGCCACCCAACATAAAGTCTCTGTGCTGGGCTCCTGCCAGTTGAGTTTACTGCTGAGTTTTACTTAAGCTTTTCTTGAGCTGCTTCAACACATTCTCAAATCCCCATCTCTCTTTCGAAATCAAGTCAAGGCCTTACCAGCTAACCTGGCTTGGCAGAGGTCAATGGGAAAAGCAGGTCTTGCCCATGCTGAGGCATCTTGTGGTACCGGGAGCTCTCCATCCTCAAGCCACTGGTCTTTCCTTGGAGGTGATTTCAGTAAAACCCTGTGAAAAGCTGCTGGAGAGCATCACGAGAGCATCAGCATCACCCATTGCACTAACAGCAGGTAGGGCCAACAACATTTTGGGACACTGTGTTGCCACTTCTAAACCCAGGGCTAGATTTTAGTGTTAGAGGCTACACTGATCCCTCAGCGTGGTGCTGTGCAGCCAGAGCATCCCTTGGGCAGGCAGGACTCTGCTGCTCCCCGGCTCCTGCCCAAAGGGAATTAGAGCTCATCCCAAACGCACCCTGGAATCTGTGGCAGAGGAAGCGATATTAAACAAACCTTTACCTCTGCCTCCAGCCGTCAGCCTGGATCTCCCCTTTGCATCTTCTTCCTTTCAAAGCTAGTTGGGAGCTTGGCTGCTTTTAATCCAGGTGATGCTTTGGTGGCCTCGAGAGCAGTGGTTTCCATGGTAACTCAAAAGTACCTGGTTTTGCACAGTCATGGTTTTAGTGGGTCACAGCCACAGATACAGATCCTGAGCAGGAGCCCCAATGGCTGAGTTTGGGGTTACCATCCCACACTTTCCTTGACCTCCTGGTTGCAAGGAAGCCAGGCAGGGTGTGCAGGATGCTGTAGGGTCACCCATGAGGCTGTTGCCTGCTGTAGGACATGTCTCCAGCCACATCTTTGCTGTTGGTGCTGGCACAACCCAATGTGGGGCTGCTCTCGGATTGCTTTATCATAGAAGGGTTTGGGATGGAAGGCACCTTAAAGCTCACCCAGTTCCAACCCCCTGCCACAGGCAGGGACACCTTCCACTAGAGCAGCTTGCTCCAAGTTACATCCAACCTGGTTTTCTTCTCTCTTTTTGACTTCTGTGTGTTTTCCCATCTTTATCAGAATAGGGATTTTCTTTCTTGATGGGTGTTTTGGAGTGGCTCAGTGGGAAGGATGCTGTGCAAAGGTGCTCTCTCTAATCCCACCCTGCAAACCAGCATCACCTCCTGCTGCCCAGGGGGTTTGCTTCGGGGCATCTCCTTGTGGCTGCTGAAGAGTGCATAGCAAGGGGGATGCTATGGAAAAGCCAAGAGGACAGTGGTTAAATCACAGCTTTTGGAGCTCCTCCAGAGCCAGGAGCAGGGAATGGAGGAATGAACTGAAATTCCCTTGAGTGCCTGTGCACCGGAGGGAGGGAGGATTAGTCCCGTTAGGGCAGAGCGCTCGGGGTAATCCCGCTTTTGAATTAGGGATTTCACTGTCATTAATCTGATGTGAAAATAAATAGGGCAGGAGCTTAATGCCTTTGAGGGGCCTGCAGGCACAGGAGGAGGGCTGCAGGGGCTGAGCAGGGACAGGACCTTTCAGCTCAGACCCTTCCAGCCACATCTCCTTGGGAAGGGTTCAGGCAAGAGGGAGGATGGGAGCATCCCTGGGAAATGCCTCATCATTTTGTGGTGGGGAAAAGCCTACTTTCCCCTTTTGCTAGCAGTAAGGGATAGAGACGGCGTGAGAGCAGGATCAGCAGCCCAGGGCAGGATGGAGGAGCGAGGCTGGAGCAGCCAGCTACAGGGCAGCATGCTCCCCTCCTCTGGGGGAAGCAGGAGACCTAATTCATCAGCATAATGATGTAGTTTTAAAGCTCAAAACCCACATGCTTTGATTATTTTACTTTAAAAAACATCTGCAAGTATAATAAGTGAAATGAATGCGACTACAGGCACCCTGGGAATAGCGCAGGAGTCGTGTTTACAGGGAGTTCCACATGAATCCCAGCAAGCAAGGCAAACATTGTAAGTAGGATACAGCCACAGGGTTGGGCTTTGTTTGGGTCTGGTGTGGGCTGTTTTCTCTCTGGAGTAGGATTCCCACTCTGCTTCTAATCAGGCGCAAGGGAAGGTGATCCAAACAGCTCCTAAAGATGGCAAGAATCAGAAGGAGTCATTGAAGGAAGGGAGAAACTAAAATAAACCCATATTGGTGTTTCAGTGATGCTCAAGTTCCTCTGGGGCTGTGGCCAGGAGCTTCGCCTGCTCCAGCTTCTCCTCCATCACTGCTGGGGTTTAATCTGTGCACTTGATTTCATGCCTTTCCATTTGAGACAAAAGGGTTTCTAGGTCTGACCTGTTTGGTCCTCAGCATGAGCTCCAATGTGTTCCTAGCTCTGAATGTTCAAAGCAAAGCCCTGTCTAAAACTAGGGTCTGGGTTCAGGTTTTAGGGAAGCTGCAGGACCTGACCCCACTGATTTCTCTCTTTTCCTTTAATCTGGCTAAATGAGAAGGTGTGTGTGGAAAAGTACCGAGGGTCTGCAGCTCTGCTGTTGCCTAATCTTATGCTGTGATAAATCTTCTGCTGTACTGATAGAATGCCAGATAAAGTACTTGTAAAGGCAGCAGGGATACACATGGATGGGGTTTTTTGTTCAGGCTCCCGGATTGGTGTTATCAGAAGTAAGACAATGTCTCTGGGCTGCTTCCTCCATGGTGCCTCCCTCACATATGCTTGTATGTTTGAAAGCAGAAAGGTTTATTCACACACAGATGGTTCCAGTTATTTTCCTAAGAACAGTTCTCTCATTCATGCTTCGTTTGCAGAGCTCCTGTTTAGTTCCCCCAGATCTTTATTATGTTTAATAGCCAGACCAGCAGCAGTAATCATAAGCTCTGGGCCTGTTTCGCACTGATGCAAATCACTACTTATTACTGTGAAACTATTGATGTTTGTGCAGTTGGGCGCTGGTGGGTCCTGTCAGAGAATGTGCTCTTCTCTTGGTGACCCGAGACATCCAACTTGGAGCCCTTTCCTTCCCTTTCAAAGCCTGTGCTGTGCACCCTGGGTCCTGGTTTGCATCCTGTATCATAACACTGGCCCTACCCGCTTGTGCCCCCAGTTTGGGTTTGTTTTGCCTTCATCCTCAGTCCTGGGGTGGAGCTCAGAATGGACTCTGTAACTCCTTGAGACTTAGAAAGCAGGTAGGAATGAGACAACCTGCTTTCAGTTCACTCTCTGTAGTGACAGAGCTCATGCTAGAGGACGTGTGGGGGAGATCCTCTGCTAGAACTCTGAGATCTGGAGATGAAGGCTCTGTGGGAGGAGGACAGAGGTAGCTGTGCTCTCAGCTGCCTTGGGCATGCATGAAGAGTGGAAGAGGATGGAGGGGGGAGGACTTGAGATGGAAAGCGGAGCCATGCACCTTGATGTGCTTCTCTGGCTCTGCTGCTGTGGAGGAAATGAAAGGCATCCTTTGTCCCTCCATCTCAACAGGAGTTTTCTTTCTAAGGCCCTTTCCTCGGTTGCCAACCCCCTGAAACCTTAACAAATCTGGGATGTTTGTGGATGCTTCCTCTTTGCTTGTGCGAGGAATGAAGGCTTTTGGATGTGTTAAATAGCTCAGTGCCTCATCTTCCTCCCTCCCGATGGCCACTTGAAGTGTGTGCTCTCCTTAACACTCTCCTCTCACCTGGTTTGAGCACGTCAGCATGCTGGTCATCCTCCTGAACTGCGTCACCCTGGGCATGTTCCAGCCCTGCGAGGACGTGGAGTGCCAGTCGGAGCGGTGCACCATCCTGGAGGTAAGGATCCCATGCTGTCCCGCTTGCCTGGGGTGTGTGGGCTGCAGGGGTGGGGGGGTGGCCATCCTGGAGCTCCATCTTGTCCCTTCTTCCCAAAGCTCTTCCCACAGGGATGGTTTTCCCAATAAGCCACACTTTGGCATGCAAACCTACTTCTGCCATGGCCCTAGGTGAGACCCAAAGGCTGAGTTGCGTTTACCCCAGCGAGATCCTTTCTCTATGCATTTAATAAGGGTTGGGAGGCTCAGAACTGGGCATCCAGCTCCAAGTGGAGGTGTTGAATGCTTTTTACTTACAGGATGGCCAATGCCACAGGGAACCTCTTGCTCACAGTCCTTTCAACCCCAGCCAGCTCGGTGCTGGCATCTCTTTGCTGCAGTCCGGCCTGTGCAATACAGCACTGGTGACTTTGCCCTCTTATTCCCTTCTTCAGGAACAAAAATGCATGGGATGAGCCCATTCCTGCTCTCCTCTGCAGTAGAATCCCCCAAGTAACAGCACTGCCAAGTGCCAGGATAACCTCCATACCAACCTTTGGGAAGTGCATACCCATACAAAGCTCACAGACCCTTGCTGGCCATCCCAAGCTCAGTGGGGCATCACGCTCATCACTTCATCCCTCGCTGCATCCTGGCAATCCCCTCGCTGCCATATGCCTGCGGGATTCGTTTTGGAAGCACATCCCAGCAGCATCTGGTGTGGGGGCTGCACCTTGGCGCTGGGCTTCCTGCAGCAACCCTGTTCTGGGGTTTGGAACCAGCTTTCCTTGTTCCTAATGCATTACGTCAATGCAGGCAGGGACTACCGGCATGTGGTAGGGTGGATCTGCTGCTTGACTTCTCTTGGAGTGTATCAGGAAAGCCAGTGGGATCCTTCCAGTTCTGCTGCCTCTTGCAGAGATTGGTCCAAAACCTCCTGCAAACTACCAGGAATAGCAGAGTTGATCATCAAAGCCTCCTTCAGCCTTTAAAGAGTCTCTGCTAAATGCAGAGCCAAGTAAACCAGGTGAATTGAGGCACCGTTAGAGGTTTCTCATGGAATGAGATCAGTTTTGGAGGCATCCAGCATTGGGATCATCTCAGGAAGTCAGGGCTGTTGTGAAGCAGCACTTGGAAGGGGCTGGTCCATCTCCTCCACCTGAAAATGTCACACTGCTGGTAGCTGTGGGCCCCCAGATTGCCCATCACAAAGTGTCGCAGCTCTCCTGAAGGGTGACATTCCATGTGCCTGCTGTTTTCCTGCATGTATTCACACACGTGGGGCTTTGTTGGTGGCATCCCTGCCAAAATGACCGGGCAGACAAAGTGAATGCTGCCTGCATGAGGAGGTGACATTACTGAATGGCTGTTTGCTTCCTTTTTCCCATAATTCAATCAGGTTGCAGTCACACAGCTTCCATGGGCTGTTCTCCCCAGAGCAGACACACATGGAATCCCCAGGAGCCCAGGCACTGAATCTGGAATCTGAATGATTCCAATGTATTGAGTAAGTGTTCTCCTAACGGGTTTGCAGGCAGGAACAGGCTGCAAGTAAAGCCATCGTTATCCCTCAGCCTCCCACTGCTTCCAGGCAGGAATGGAAGCCAGAACATGAGGTAGAAAAGCCTGAACTTCTTTATGGAGGCATTTGGATGCCAGGAATTAAATGAACTGAAATAACAGAACAAAACTTCTGTGTTAGTTTATCAAGGGAAAGGTTGGTTGGTAAAGCCAACAGCCAGAGGAGACGGTGCTCGCACAGAGCCATGCAGAGCTGCATGGATGCACAGCAGGAACTTGGCTGCCATGTGGATGTTGTGTTGGTTATACCATTAATCCACTTAGCCTCAGTATGGAAGTGCCAGACGCAACACCAAACAGTATGGTCATTATGGGCTGGGTTTGGACAGCAGCAGCCATGGCTGTAGATTGAGAAGTTCCTGTGCTTTATCAAGTCTGTCACTCAAAACAGCAAAGCCTCTGCACGTGATTTCAAAGCAATCTGCATCTCCTGATGTTCAAGTTTACAGGCAACATGTAGAGGAGTCTTTACAACAGAGTGTATTTCATGGCTTCTTCAAGTTACCATCCACGTTTTGTGCAGGAACCTTCTGGAATCTCCAGAAGGCTGGAGAAATCCCAGCTGTCCAAGTCCCCACTACTCTACAGAAGTCATTCTTTAAGTAAAGACTGGGGCATGTTCTATAGGGCAGCAAAGGATTAATTTGTGCACCTTTAATTTCTCTTCTTGTTTCCACAGTAATCTAAGCCCCTACATTTTGACCTTCACTAAGAGGCTCCTGTGCTGGGCACCCAGGATGCCCTGAGCCTCTGCACCACGAGGGACCGCTCCAGGCATCCCTCACGTGCAGCAGAACTGTCCTTATAGTTACTGCTTCAACCTCCCTCGGTGTGCACATTCACTCCCAGCTGTGTGTGGGTCTGGGGGTAGGAACCTGGTCCCTTCAGAGGTCCATGAAGGCATCAGAGGTGAAGCACATCCCCCTGTGTTAGATGGGACAAACTCTTTCTGGTCCCTTCAGAGGTCCATGAAGGCATCAGAAGTGAAGCACATCCCCCTGTGTTAGATAGGACAAATTCCTTCTAGGAGGTATTGAGCCACCCAGTCTGGTTAACACAGCTCCCACTGCAGGCTGCTGAGACCTCATGGACCCAACCACAACGTGTAGGCTTTAAATGCCAGGAGAAACATCCAGCCTGTACAACAGTGATGTCCTTCTGTCTTTGTCAGCAGATCAACAGAAGCTGCTAATGCTTCCCAGGCAGTTGAATGACCCCAGAGCTATGCTTAGGGGTTGCCATCACCCACCAGGTATTGCAGGTTCTATTTCTGAGCTAGGTAGGTGGCATTTTGGTCCCAGGGCTTTGCCTTGCAACGTCTGCCGGGGCACACAGAGTGCCTCTGCAGTGGGAACGCTCATGTCTCTGCTTTCCCTTTCCCTGCTAAGATTGCACAGCAGAACTGACTGTAATCATCTTTTACTGGTCTCCAGGCGTTCGACGACTTCATTTTCGCTTTCTTTGCGGTGGAGATGGTCATCAAGATGGTGGCTCTGGGGATCTTCGGGCAGAAGTGTTACCTTGGAGATACGTGGAATCGGCTGGACTTCTTCATCGTGATGGCGGGGTCAGTAACAGAACCTCATGCGTTTCTTCCTTGTCATGAAAGCAGGAAAACCCCAGAGAGCCAAATGTGTGCGTTGTCCTGGCTGGTTTTCATGATGCCTTGTGAAAACTGCAGGCTCAAGCCAGGCCACAGTCTCATAAGCCTCATTTGGTTTCACCTCTGGCAACCACACTGGGTTATGGGATGGGGTACGAATGTTAGGGCAAAAGCCATCGGGTGCTCAGTAGCAATCCTTTTGCCAGTGTTGTCTCTGTCAAATCAAGTGCATGCCGATCTAGTCCCTTGTGATGGCCAATGTCCCAGTGGTCGTGGTTAAGCCCGCTGGCTCCAAGGTGGATGGAAAAGCTCAGCCCAGCTTCTGCTAAATAACACCACGAGAGTGAGGCAGAGAGGCAGAAGTTGGCCAAACAAGGAGAACGTAGCCCCAAAATCTGGTTTAGAACATTGAGATCCTGATGGTGGAAGCTGACCAGAAGCTGACCCAATGACAAGTGCACGCAAATGCCTCCTGGAGACTTCTCTTGGTTTAACACCATCCCCTACAGCTGCTTATTTGTGCAGGATGTGCTAGCAAACAGACACGAGGAAGAGCTGCGTGCTTTTGACACCAGTTCCCTCACACCCAAGGGAGAAACTGAATGGGCTGAAAGCCTGGCAAGTCTAAAACTTGATTCTATAAATAAATGTGGTTTAGAAACCCCAGGCTCTCTTACCTGTTTAGGATACCCTAGGAAGGGCTAGACTGCTTTAATTATAGAGCTCTGCCTTATTTCTGAATCCCTGGGTTTCTAATGGCCAGCCTGGGTTTAATTAGACCATTCCTGTAATATGTTGGGGCATTTTTACCCTTATGTTAGTGATGTACAATCTTCATTGCACTAATGGGGTTTTGGTTTGCTCCATGTTATTTGTTTGGAGTACAATTAGGAATGGCCTTACTGGGTTGAATAAAACATGAGCTCTCCTGAGCAGAGCTTCCTTTGAACCCAAGTGTGGTGTAACCAGGAAAGAACAGCAGGGACAACAGAAACAGCAGTTAATGATTTCTTCTTTCCAAAGCCTTGCTGCAGGGTTTGAGCCAGAAATAAGTAGAAGAAGGGGAAGGCTGTGGTTGCAGCTTGGGATCAGGAGCCTGCCATCCATAACCAGTGCGCCAACAGCGTTTCCCCACGCTGAGCCTGCAGGATGAGCTCTCCTGATGGGCAAGCAGAGGTTCCCCACAGCATCAAACAGGAGAATAAAATGGAGGCAGAAAGGCTGAGCCCTCTGCTCGTACCTGAGCATCAGGTTTGGCACCAGGATCTTTGTTCATGTCACGCTTGGGACAAGGGGGAAGGTGGCACGCTGTCCATCTGGTAGTTTTCCAAGGAAGGCTGTGGCTGGCGTATGTTTGAGAAGAATGGAAACAGCAGAAGCACCAATGGAAGCAACCTGGCATTGCTCAGGTTGAAGATGAGAAGAGGAAAGGCCCTTCCCTGGCTGATCCTGGGCCATCTCCAGAGGATCTGGGGGGATTCAAGCCGTACCTGTGACGTTATTTCCCAGCTCTAAGAGAGTTCTGGCCTGGGAGCTGGGCTGCCTGGTAACACCAGTGGAGGGCCAGGAGAAGCTGCGCAATGGGCTGTGGCTCTTCACCTATCCCCCACCACTGTTCAATCCAGCATCTGCTCCTAAAACTGGAGGTGGTTTTAGGCAGGGAGCACTCTACTGGAATAACAAGAGTCGCTTTTCCCAGCAAGCAGATGGATGTGATAAAGTTACTACGAAGTTTGCTATGATAAGAAGGGAAACAAGTGATCAGCAGTGCTGCCTGCTTGGTTTGCCCCATTCGGTATCCTCCTGATTTGGCTTACTAGCAATGAAAACCAAGGAGAGCAGAGGGGAAGCAGGGAAACTACAAAACAAACAGATCTCCTGCCTCTAGCACCAGCTCGTGTCTGAAGTTTGTTCCGGCACTGGAAGCCCTTTCATGTTTTCCTCGCCTCAGAAATGCACCCTGGACAATTTCAGACCAGATGGAGCTTACAACCTTTGGGTCTGTCCAGCAGCCAAGTTGAAAGCATTTCCCAAGCATCCAAAATGATGGCCACAAGAGCTATGAAACCAGAGAGGTTTCTCGTGCACCCAGTCCTTGGAAACGTTGCAGCCTCACATGATGATGTGCTTTGGACATCTTTAACTTGACAGCTAAAGGACTGGAAACTGTTCATATCAGAAGCCATCACAAAGCCTTGTGCCTCCTTTGTTTTCAGTGCACAGAGGTTGTAAGGAATCACCTACCAAGTGTTAGTCCACCCAGACCTCCTATCCCTTCCAGCTCCAGCAGGTTTCTGTCAGGCATTTCCAGGGAATTCTTGGTTTACAAGTGGGATATAAGAACAGGACCCCAAGCCCGGGTCCTTTTTCTCAAAGGTTCAAGCTGCTTGCAGATGGTCCAATCTGGAATCTATCAAGTGTTTCGGGTTGGCTTCAATGGGCAGTGTAGATCCTCCTGAGACTTACTTTCAAATCCTAAATGGAGTATCATGGAATTGCAAAGTATCAGGGTTAGAAAGTTAGTTTCCTAGGCCAAATCCTGGCTTTTTCTCTCTTATCAACCCCATTGAAACTCTTAAGGGCCAAGTAAAAGTGAGGCCCCAGGAGTTCACCCTTTAACATACCAATGGTTGCATGTGCTCTCTGGAGTACAAAGCCACCTCCCACTGGAGCATTTCATACTCCTTTTACTTGCTATTAGCAGTTCAAAGCCTGTGTCACTTACACTAAAATCCACTTACTCCGCCACCCAAAACACTGTGAGAGTGCTGTATTGGGACCTCACCAGCGAGCACGTTCAGGCTTCGCACTGTTCACATCAGGGACTTTAAACAATGCTGTCTCTATCCCTGGAAGGTCTGTTTAGAGCAGACACCTGGTGCTGGCTCCAGGTCCCCGCTCGGTGCAGGTGTGAATGGGCATTTCTGATGGCTTTCCTGCTGTGTGGTCCTTCCTGCAGCTCCGGGCTGCTTCATGAACCCATATAGGGTTTAAAACCTGGTTTTGTGCTGTGCTGAGTTTTAAAGCTATTCATCGTGCTCGGCTCAGCTCCTGTGCATGAGCTTGAAGGTGGTTTTGATTTATAAAGACTCACGAACTACTTTGGGAATAACAAGTATCTCTGGCAGGTTATCGCTAAAACCAGCCCCAAATCAGCAGGCAAATGAAAGCTAACAGGGCAAAGTCACCTCAGTGCAATGCCAGTGATACCAACCAGCTTCAGGACAAAGATGGAAGAGAAGCAAGCATCAGAACATCTACATAGTCCCAGTTAAACTTCCCAGAGCAGAGCAAAGCACCGAAGACAAGGCTTCAGCAGGGGAGAACATGAGCACATAAGCAATGATGCACCTGAGCAAGGCTGGCCCAAAACCAAGCCTCCCTTTGCTACTGCCTGGAAACCATTCAGTTGTTGCTTAAGCCCATTTGGTGGTTGCTTCTTAATGGCGTGTAATGATGTTGGTCCATCCTCACTGCAGGATGCTTCAAATCTCTCCTTTCCTCTGAAGCGCCTGGTTGCAGATTTCAGCTCGTATTTGCCTTCCTTCTTCCGTATCTGTTTGTTTATTAACAAAACCCCACAAAACAAAAGCTCTTTCTCCATGGGATCCAACAGCTTGCTCACAGGGGTGATTTTGATGTTGTTCTGTTATTTGAACAGGCGTGGTGAGAGATTTGTGACATATTTACAAGTGCTTCCCTCTAGTCAAACTCACAAATTGTAATTACAGCCATGCTAACTAGCCATAACCCCATTAAAAACCCAACACTACACCCATTTGCCACTCAGCTCTAGAAAAGAGCAAGAAAATTGACTTAACATCCTTCCCAGCCTGGGAGAGAAATGTTTGTGTGAAATGGAGACGGAGCATGGGAAAGAAAATGTTCCTTATTCTTAATAATAAAATGGAAGCCAACTACTTTAACATCATTTGTTGGCTTGGTTATTCACAGGTTTTGTCACAGGGAAAGAGATAAACTGGGGTGATAGCAGGGGGTATAATAGCAGAAGCATCTTAGGGACTTTGAGCTGCATAGAGTTGTGCAGTGCGGATGCGCTGCTGGCTGGAGCACTATAAGCTAATGGGAAGGGAGAGCAGCACGGCTGCGGGAGCTGAGCTGGGGGCTCCCAACTGCCCTGATGTCTGTGGCACTCACTTTGCTGCTCCTCGTTGTGCTTTCTGGTGTTTTACCTGTGCCTGCAGCCCATGATCCCAAGAGCACATCTGCACCATCACTGCTTGTGGGGGTATTTTCTCTTAAGGGGGTGAAATAGTCCTTATGTCCCCCATTTGAGAGCATTGTGAGCTGCAAATACAGATTGGGTGGTTTTCAAGCCTGGATGCGCAGGCAGCCCCAGGAAGCAAGCATCCCACATCCTGACACTTTCCCTCTTTCCCCTGCAGCATGATGGAGTATTCTCTGGATGGCCACAACGTGAGCTTGTCTGCGATCCGCACCGTCCGGGTTCTTCGGCCGCTACGAGCCATTAACAGGGTGCCAAGTAAGTAATGCCTTTGTCTGCAGCTTGGGCTCTGCCTGGTTCACTCCCCTAGGAAAACCAGGGTGTTAAAGGCACCCCAGCCAGCAGTAGTATCCTGTTCTCTTGCTGCTGAGAGCAAGTTCATTGATTTTACTTTATAATGGCAAGTTTGAGATCATTTATGATGATTATCAGTGTTAGTAAAGGGCAAGGGAGTAGATTTTAGACCCGGAGGACCCCATTTGCATGGCTGTTTTCCACCGCTTTGTGAACTCGGAGGCAAGTAACTGCTCCTAGTGCAAAGAAAATAACAAAGGTCCTCTAAAGAAAGGGGAAAGGTCAGTTCAAAGAAGGATCTTCTTGCCCTGGATGGGTTCATTTTCCCCTCTTGGCTATTTCAGGTCTTTCCTTTTCTTTGTGTTCAGGATTAGAAGCGCAGCAGCCTCTATTGTCGGTAAAATACCACAGAGGGTTTGCTGTCGTGTAGAACAAAATTGGGTTCATCCATGAGAGTAAGTTCAAGTGGCCCCTAAATCCATTTTGAAGTGGCTTCAGCTGCTTGTCTTCTAAATCCAATTTCAAAGACCAACCAACAGATTGAAAACATTTCTGGCCGGAATGGGCTGTCTGCTGAGCACTCCTTTTGCAAGGTACTAATTTCATAGCACTTTCATCATTTTTTAACCAAAATCCACTCAATTCAAACTGCAGCAGCATTGTACGGAAATCATAGAGGCTCCTTGCAAAAGAAAGTACATTTCTTGGTCTTTTTAAAAGCCCGTTTGAATGACGCAGCACTGATTTGTCCTCGTTGAGCATCCTGCCTGGATGAGCTGCCTGTCATGTCTGCATATCTAGGGACAGCAAAACCAGCTCCCCCAGAAGGGTTTTGGTTCCAGTGCCTCAGATGAACATGCAATGGAATAGATGGAATTTTACACACAGGACTCTGAAGTTTCTTTTAGTTATATTCTTCAGGATTTTTCTTTAAAAGAAAACATTAATAATCTACATGATTTTCACTGACTTCAGGAGTTTAAAACAAGACCAAAAGAAAGAGAGGCTAAAAAGGACCATGAAACCCTCCCGAGCTTTGTTTTCCCTAGTGAGGTTTGGTTACCAGGGTTTCGGAGCAGCTCGAAAGCACAACACAAAGTTTTCCACTGGGATGTTGAGCACGGTGGCTCCACGGCCTCCCTGGGATGGAAGGAGCAGAGGGATGCTGGCACATGCTTGGCTCGGAGCCCCACCGAGGTTTCAGGCTGGGGTGAGGATCAGGCTCGCTCTGAAGCTATTTAAATCCACAAAGCCCTTCATAGCTCTCCCTTGAAACAGTGGGAATGTCAAGCTGGGATTCAGATGTCCATTTACATGCCTATTAAACAGAGGCCCAGGGATCCCAACACCTCCAAGTCTGGGTGAAATCTTGGTCTGTCTCCACCTTGTGTTCTTCTGCCTTGGGAGTCCGATACTGAAGTTTTCAAGTAAGCCTTTTAGGCCATCTTCTGCTGTACTTGCTACTTCACTTCTTAGTGTTTTTCAAAGGATAGGCAATAGAAAATACCCAATTTTTTTTGTTAATAGTATGGGAGATTAAATCCAAAGAGCCCAATCCATGTTTAGAGTTGAGTTGCCTGCCTTGAGGAGCAGCTAGGCTGGTCTTACACCACTACCAGCATCTTGAACAAGTGCCAGGGCAGGATTAGTATTATCTTAGCTCCTGGAGGGCAGATAATAACAGACTCCACTTGTTGATGAGACACTAACTCCATCCACTTTAACACCCATACTTTTGCTGTTTCAGACTGAGATAATCCAGGGTCTGTGGAGAATGGATAGTGACAGCCCTCTGTTGTGCTGTATTTTTGCAGTTTCCAGTAACAACAGAGTTACATTTCTAGTCTTTCATCTATGGGGATGCTACAGCTTAGCCAGGGATTTCCTTGGACGTCCACCCCATCCCAGACAGCACACAGCAGCACATTGCCCTCAGCCCCATCCCTGCCATCCCCAGCAGCAGGACAGTGATGCTTCCCCAGCCACCACACCACTGTCAGGAGCAGGGTTTTCAGCTCAGTGGCAGTCACAAAAGGCCATGGAGCAGACAGGAGTGCTGGCTGGGTCAGAAGCGATGAGCCTGGTGTTCAGTCACAGCACAGGGAAAGCAGGGACCCATGAGGAGTAGCCCGTCGATTTCTCCCTGTGATGTCTGGGCACTCGCCTGGGTTCCAGCCAGCACTATTAGCTCTTTGCTTCCAGGCACAATAAATTCACCAGCAAGATTATTTCATTTTTGTTTTGTTTGTTAAGAAAAGAAAGGAGAACCCTGGCCAATAAAAACATCATCTCTATTAGAAATTATTCCTTGAAAATGACTGGAAAATGTAATTCCCGCGATTTATATGTTTGGCAGGGGCTGTAGTCATGGGATTTTTTTAATCATGGTCACTGGTTTTCTTTCAAATCCATTTCACTGCTTTATGTTGATTTTTCTGCTATGGGCTTTAAACCAGCAGCACATGGAATGGGAGCGAAGAGAAATCCTGCTCCTTGTTCCAGCCCAACCGATGCTCGTGCTCTTTTCCCATGGCACACTCGCCATTCTGCTGAGACCCCAGAGCACCCTTAGTGGGTAGCGAACAGATGGATTCAATCTCGAGGATGGTGCCACTAAACAGCCCAAAATACCAAAAGTAACTGAGCAGAAAACAGTTGTCTGGCACGGGGAGATCGATTTTAACCATTTTTGGGAAAAAAAGAGAGACAGTATTAGTGAGAATGAGAGGGGGAAAGAAAAAGGAAGAAATGCCCAGCATCCTCTTTCCAGTGGGAATGAAGTGTGTCTTTCCTGCTTTTCCAAAGATAGATTTGCAAGGAAAGGCCGCAGGGCATTGCTGTGGGATGTGCTCCTGGGGGGCTCACGCTGACAGCACGTGTTGGGAACGAGTGTTACAAAACCAAAACCTGTTTGCCTCCAGATCTGGGATTCCTCTTGCACTTGGAGCAGAGGTCGGTGCTTCCCATCAGCTGGCACCAGCGTTGCGGTTACAGTGGGTGGCAGGGATGCCAGCATCCTGCGCCGCCCCACGGCACTTGACAACATACACTCATTGCCAGCACCGTGTCCCTTCCCTGCAGGGTGGCTTTGGCACCGGGGTGGCACGGGGCAGGGTTTGGAGGGCAGCCGGCAGCACTGGCACGGGGCCGGGCGCCAGGATCGTGGCTCCTCCGGAGAGGCATCCGCTGCCGGCGCCAGCAGCGGGGAGCCGCGCAGGAGCCAAGATGCATCTGGGCATGGAGACCTTGACAGGCTCTTGCCCTGGGATGCAGAGGTGATTACTCACACCTCATTATTTATTAGCACAGCTTTCTTGGCTTGGTTCATCCACTCGTGCCGCGCTGACAAGGTAATGTCAGCTCCGGCCCTGCTTGGCTGGGCTGCGTTTCCGCTGGCACAGCGACACGAGGAAAGGGGTAATGCGGTGTGACGGGGCTCCAGATCCTGCCAGCATTGCTGCTGCAGCCTGGAGGTGCCAGCTTGGATGGGCACTTCTCTCCTGCTCCTTCCAGCACCCATCCTTGCAGCCCAGCATCATTGATTTAGCAGGGGAGGCGTCAGGCGTGAGGCGTGACTGAGGAGCTGGCTTGAAGGAAGAAGCCAATGTGGAAATGCCACTCTCCGTTCCAATGGGTGCCTGGTGGAGAGCAGCATCCTGCTAGGGGAAATGAAGGGAGGAAAGGCTTCACACAGGCAGGAAAAGGTGTTTACAGAGCAGAAGTTTAGGGGGATAAAATACCTCCAAAGGCGGCAGTGTCACCTTACCCACCAGCCACATCGATTTCCACTGTGCCATAAACGTGAGCCCTGCTCTCTTCTGAGCACCTGAGGCTTGGTTCCTGGCTTTATTCTTTCCTATGATTGAACATTTGTCTTTGTCTCTTCCTCTTTTCATTAGTCCTCCTCTCATCAATTATCAGCTGTTGAAATGATGGCTGGTCGGTATCTCAGAGATTCATTTAACCTCTATTGAACTGCTGAACTACAAGTCATTATTCTCTCTTTATTCCTGCTTTATCCTTGAGTTGGAAGGTGCCCTCATGTGAGCCAGGGCAGCCCCGAGCACCAGCCCAGTCCCAGCCTGCTTGCCCACGCTGCCCTGGACTCATTCCTCAAGGTTCTTATTTAGGGTGGAAGAGCTTGCCCAGAAATCAGCATTACCCTGGCAGCAAAGGTGCTGGGAGAGCTCCTGCTCTGCCTGCGGGTTCATGGGGAGGTGTGGGACCAGCTGGGAAGCTTGCACAGGAGGAAGGGAAGGGAGCAGAGCCGAGGGTTTTCCTTAGAGGAAGAAACATTTGCATCCTGTTTTCCCCCTTTAAACAGTCAGAATTTCCCCTGCATCCCTTGCTTGGCAGTCCTGTGACCAGCACAGGGGGGAGTCCTCCATGGAAGAGGAATTGTCCATGGAGGAGCCGCAGTGGTCATCCTACACGAGGCTCTGTATTGTTTAGGGAACAATGAGAGATGTTCAATACGTTTATAAATCTATCTTTTGTTAATTCCTCAGAAGGGTGATGGTCTGGGGGGATGTTCCTCCAGGAAGGGCTTTCTTGTTTGTGTGGGGCCCGTTTTACTGAGAACATTTGAAAATCCCACCCTTAAATCCACCCTTTGGCGATACGCTGCTCCTATCTGTGGCTAAGCCTTTTGCACTCTTTACCTTTCTTTTCAGCCTTAGGGCTTAAGGGAAACCACAAACACCCCAATTCCTCTACCCAGGATGCCCTACCACTCTGGGAATGCTGTGGCATTCATGCTCTCCCCATCAAAGGGCTTCTCTAACCTCTGTTCTCCTTCTCCCCACAGGTATGCGAATACTCGTCACCCTGCTGTTAGATACTCTGCCTATGTTAGGCAACGTCCTCCTCTTGTGCTTCTTTGTCTTCTTCATCTTTGGGATTGTCGGTGTGCAGCTCTGGGCAGGGCTGCTGAGGAACAGATGTTTCCTAGACAGGAATTTTGCCATGTAAGTACAGCAAAACTATTTCCACCTTTTCCTATTTTCTCTCTCTCCCCCCCCCCCCCATCTGGTGGGATTGCAGGAGCTGAACTGGGAGCACAGATCTTAACTGGGCTGTCATCTTGACTCATAACAGTCATAGAATCATAGGATGCTTTGGCTTGGAAGGGACCTTAAAGGTCATCCAGCTCCAAGCCCCTGCCACAGGCAGAGACAGCTTCCCCTAGACCAGGTTGATCCAAGACCCTCCCAGTTTGGCCTTGGACACTGCCAGGGAGGTTCTTGGATTCAGAACTCAAGTGTGGAGTTTTGGGTATTTTTTTGTCTGTAAAAAACCCATTTGTCATCAAGTTACTGAGGCTCTGAAGTGCCTTTGTCAAGTTTTCCCCCTGTACCTGAAGGACAAAGATGTCTGTGGTCTGGATTATCTCTGCTCGAGGAAGCTGAGATCCCTGACTCCAGGATTTGAAGGATTTAGAACAAACAAAGGCTTTAAAGCTTTCCTAAAATGGCCAATTCCCAAAGCTGGGAGGTCACCCAGCACACCACAGCACCTGCCAGGTACAAACAGCACCATGGTTGTGCTGCTGAAACACCCAAATATGAAAGACATTAAAGACATTTGTGCATCCTGGGACAGGCATCAGGAATGGGCATCACATTTAACCACCTGCTCTTTTTGATGGAACTTTAGATTTGGTTCTTCCAAGCTAGGCAATTGCATGGACCAGCATCCCTTAGCACCTTACCTAGGCTCTGAGGGTGCTAATAGTTGTTAATTGCCCTGATGAGCCTTACCTGGGACCAACACCGCACCCATGGCCCAGGAGCTCTATTTAAGCTCAGCCTGTGGCTCTTAGGCCTGGTTTAGAGCTGGGCTGTTGGTGTATCTGTCTCCAGGTCTTTGTTCCCAGTTTCTTTAGCTCCTTCCTTAGTTCCCTGTGTGGGTTTTGCATCTGGTTCATCATTTACCAAGCCTGGGGCTTCGTGAACCCTGCTGTTAGTTCTGGGCTCTGCCTGCTGTGATTGCACTCTGTCCATGCAGGAACTGCTGGCACTGGGATGTCTCCTGCCTCTTGGCTCATCCCCTGTCATGGGGCAGCCTGGCTCTTGCTGCTCCCCAGCAGTCCCTCAGCTTGATATCGAGCTTGGGCTGTTCTGCACTTGCCCCTTCAGAGGTGCAATGTAAGGGCACACCTTAAAACCTATCAGCACAACCAAAAGATCAAAGCCAAGTGCAAGCTGCCACAGAAAAAGGGAGCTCTGCCTGGGAAAACCCTTCCAAAGGGCTCCTGTCAGAGACTGCTGAAGATGTCAGTGGCTCAGAGGTGAGGAAACGCCTGAGATCAGCTAATCAGGGCAACTCCAGCTCTGTAAGAGAAGATAGAGCCCGTAATTATATCTGTTTGCAATCATTTGCTGTCTACAATTTGTGTCTGGAAGACAAGCAGAGATTATCCCTCAGCTCTATCCCAGATCCTGTTCCTGCCTCTTGCTGATTACTCCTGATGGTTTTCAGCTCTCTGAGCCTTTCTCTGTGCTGCAGCCCATCTCTGATGGCACTTACCCCATCAGAGATGCTGAAGGGCAGAAAATCAATGAGTCTGCCACGTGTGTATGCTTCCGCTCCTGCATCTTGATGCTCCAGCCTTGCAAGCTATCTCCTGCATGCACAGCAGGCATCTGCTGGTCACCAAGACCCTTGTCACTCAAAGCAACCCCTGAGCTCTCATTTAAAAGCCTAAGAGTAGTGTTAAAGCTGTGCTCAGGTGGCCCTTGTTGCATGGGGCAGGCAGTGCTTTGAGCAGGAGTGCAGAGCTGTAATTAGCAACAGTCCCTCTCATCTCTTTGACCAGGTTTCTGAAATGCTCTGTGATTCCTGCAAAGTGGAGCTTCTAAAATTAACCGCGGGGGAAGCATTTTGCTAAGTACAGATATTTAACAGGCCCTCAGGTAATGGCCATTAGCAGCATCAAAGGCATCACAGGGTTTGCTTATCAGGGTCTTGGTCTCCAGTCGAAGAAGGCAAAGTCAGGCTCCTTGTGCTGAGCCTCAGGAGCTTGCTTGAACAGGTAGGAGGTTTGTAAGAGGTTTTCTCCTTCCCACCCCACTGCAGCTCTGTGCTGGTTCCTGGGCCCCAGCAGCACATAGTGGTGAATTTGGGTGGCTGTGGGCTACGTGCTGCTTTTGGCTAAGTCGTGATGCCATGTGCTCGGGGATACTGAGCGAAGTTACAGCATTCCAGAGGAGCTGGGTGAAATTAGGCTCCTGGCTTGCCCATGGGGTAGCTCTGTTGTCATCATCATTATGCTGTATAAGCATAACAAATACGGGTTGTTCTGGTACCAGCACTGACTGAAGCTACTGTCTTGGTTTGTGTTTTGCTGGATTAGCTTAAGTCCTGAGAAATCTGATTGCAATTGAACCAGTCTTTCTGTTTCCAACTAGAAACTATCCCATGTTGGAGCTTGGAGTGGAAGTTTTGGGAAATCCAGATGGAATTATTCCCATCTTTTCTGTCATTCCTGATAGGTTCTCCTGAATCCATAGTTTTAGGCACTGGGAAATGTAGTGGTCTTTAACACCCCAATAGCAAGCTGTACATGGGGAAGAGGCATGGAGTGACAGTAACAGGGAAAGGGTTACCTCTTCCTGCTCTTGTACAGATGGCCCAAAATATACAGCACTGGGCCCAAACTATCAGGTCCTGCAGACCAGCAGCAGCATGCCATCTCCTTGCAAGACAGTGTGGAGATAAAGGCAAAGTCATGCCCAGGGTTGGATTTGACTGGGGTCCATCACTGTGTCCTCCTCCTCCATCCTTGTGCCAAGCTGCTGTGCTCGTGATCAGTGCTGGAGAGCACAAACCATCCATCCCCTTCCAGGGAGAGCTGTGAGAGAGAACAAAGCCAACAACAAAACCTTCAGCCAGGGGATGCGGGATTAAAGTTAAGCTCTGGTTTTGGTTAGAAGTAAACAGAATAGAGCTCTGTGGGAAAGGGGGAATGAGATTCTGGTCATTTAGTTTTGTTTGCCAAGTCCCACTAAATCCCAGTGGTGTTATTCTTAGCCTAACAATAGTGTTTTCCAGCCCTTCACTGGGCTGTGAGGGGCTGGAGGGTGGGCAGATGAGCTGTGAGCCCAGGCTGGGGCTGAGCAGATGATGGTCCTGGCTCTGATTTTCCTTACAGCCCTATAAAGGGAAATACCTGTTATTGTTCAAGCTCACCTCGGTGGTGGTGTCAAACCCTTCCAGATGAAAACAGAACTGCTTTAAAGTGAGGGTGAGCATCTGAACGCAAACCAGGGTGCCAGGCAGGGAAGGTCATAGCCCCAAAGCCTTTCTGGATAAAGGAAATTCAAGCGAGCTCAGCCCAGTGCTTCAAACACAGTTTCTTACCTGCTGCATGCTGCTTTGCACACTTGCTGCCAGCAGCTTTCTGGGCCATTCCACTTGAAGGCAGGCATCAGATGGAGGAAGTGACTTTGAATTTTGCCATCATTCTTCTTCCTGTGGAAACCATTTCTTTCAAATCCCCCTTGAAAGTTGGCAGCTTCAAGGAAAAGAAGCTATTTTTAAATATGGTACATTCTGATAAGAGATTCGGGGACTTCTTTTGAGGTGCCTCTCTCTCTCTCTCTTTGAAAATTGCCCTGTTGCAAGGCAATATGATACCATGCTGGAAGGAGGTTGGATTTATTAAGGACTCTTTTAGTAGAGACTTTGAAGGAATCGCAGGTGGTTACTGGGCTGCTGCAGTAGTGGGTTAGCAAGCAATAAGAACTGGAGTGGGTCACTCCCCAGCCAGCTTTGGAGACTAGAGTGGGGCTTCAGAAGTCCCTGGGGGTTCAGACACCCTCTTCAAGCCCTGGGGAGCTCACAGTGGGGAACAGCAGTGCCAGGATGGTCTCCAGTGCTGTGTGAGTGGGAGCTGGGATTTCTGTTCTGAGAGGGAAGGGCTCAGTATTGCGTATATGGGGAGACCAAATGAAGCCGGCAGTTTAGAAGATCTTCAGGATGTGTGTCTCCCCACAAAGCCCCTCTGGCTCCCTCTTGCCATCATGAGCTGCTGTCACTGTTAATAAAGCAATTGGGTCACCCCCAGCTTGTCTGGGTTGGTGCTGCTGGGGCTGCTCCTTGCTTGTGTGTCGTTATGCAGAGGAGCATCTTCCCTCTTGTAGAGCCTTTCAAGGAACTCGGTAGGTTGGAGGCAGGGGAGGGGAGAGAGCTGTGAAGTGCTTTGTATGTATGTAACGCTGCAGGACAGTTATAATGTGAGTACTTCAGTCTTAATTAACCCCATACCTGCTTGGCATTGTACTGCCTTTGGCTCCTTGGCTTTTGTAGAGCTGTGAGGAGGCACACACAGGCAAGGCAGACAGCTCTGAGTTAGTCTGAAAGGTACTTCTGAGTTCTACTTGATTGCTCCTCCTGGCATCCCTCTGTGCTGCAACACTGGGTTGTCAGCAGGATTTCCTCCAGGGAGCAGCCTCCTCTTGAAGGGAATGGATCCTGCTTGGTGCTCAGTTTCCTCCACCTTTTCCCTTTCCTGCTCTGCTCCTCAGAAAGCTGTAGCAGGATTGTGCTCAGCATGCACACGCCTTCCTCCAGTGGTTGTGGAGGATGCCTCGCATGGGAGGACTGAGAGGAAGCACAGGACATGCAGGGAGGAAAAACACGTTGCAAAAGCTGCTGCGAGCCCAGCTAAAGATGTGCACTGGGCAGCTGGCCGAGAAAGGGGTGTTAATCCTTTCTAATGTGATAACAAGATCCATCCTGGGGCTTAGTTTCTCATGTCTTTTCCCAGAGCACAAGGGTCTTGTGATTAGTGGCTTCATTACCATTAAGAAGTTATTTGGACTGTGCGTGTTGGCAAGTAACAAGGAAGGAAGTCAGCTTGACCTCTCCTGCCTGTGGAGGTAGATGCTCTTGGCAGAGCTGATTCTTTTTGTGGGTACTGGGGATTCCCTCATCCTGCAGGGCTTTGTTCCTTATTCTTGCTCTCATTCCTTCTTTCCACTTTTTGGGCTTGCCAGAAAGGGTCCTCAAGCAGAGGGACTAAGAACAGGTCTTAAATTTGCAGGGTGGATGCTCGTGGTGTATCTGTGCCTGGGGCATTCATGGAAGAGGGAAGGGCTTGAAAAGGACTGGTCAAAAAGAGGCCCCCCTAAGACTGATTTTGGCCTCTGGGGCGGACTTTGAGTTTGTAAATGGTTTTGGGGGCAATTACAAAATGAGAAAAGGGAGGCTAAAATCAGGTAGGCAGCAGCAGAAGCAAGTCAAGCTTCATCCACCCTTCACAATCAAGCTGTGCTTTGTTTCCCTTGGTTTATTTTCCTCCCACAACCAAAGCGTGTCGTTCTTTTGGCTCTCCAGGGCTTTGTGCCCAGATCTTCTCTTTGCAGATTATTAGATCACAGCCCAGGGCGCTGTGTCTGCAGGCAACTTCTCCTTCAGCCCAAGGCTTCCTGAACAGCGACTCCTGGGAAACATAAAGCCTCTCTAATCTCTGTATGTGGCTCATCAAATACAGTTCCAGTCACAATGTGGCCCTGTCCAGCCTGCCCAGCTGTGGTGGGCATCTCAGGAGGTCAGAGATCAGCTCTGGGCTGGAATATAGAGGATTTATCTGTGATGAATGTGTTCTGGTGTCCTCAACATACAAAGGACATGGAACTGTTGGAACAAGTCCAGAGGAGGCCATGAGAATGATCAGGGACTGGAGCACCTCCTGTATGGAGACAGGCTGAGAGAGTTGGGGCTGTTCAGCCTGGAGAAGAGAAGCTGCGTGGAGACCTCATAGCAGCCTGCCAGTATCTGAAGGGGGGCTATAGGGATGCTGGGGAGGGACTCTTCATTAGGAACTGTAGTGACAGGACAAGGGGTAACGGGTTAAAACTTAAACAGGGAAAGTTTAGGTTGGATATAAGGAAGAAGTTCTTTACTGTGAGGGTGGTGAGGCACTGGAATGGGTTGCCCAGGGAAGCTGTGAATGCTCCATCCCTGGTGGTGTTCAAGGCCAGGTTGGACAGAGCCTTGGGTGCCATGGTTTAGTGTGAGGTGTCCCTGCCCATGGCAAGGGGTTGGAACTGGATGATCTTAAAATCCTTTCCAACCCAAACAATTCTATCATTCTATAAGGGACAGCAGGCAGCTGTGGAGCTGTGTGTGGCACTGAATGTTGTCTCTATTGTGCTGTAGTGGGAGAGGCAGCTCAAAAGGAACCTTGGGTGGGAGGTTGGGGTAGAACATCGTGCTGGTGCATCAGGCGTTCGATCTGAGCGCTTCTATGGTCAGTATTTTTGGCATGGGCATGTGCGTGTCTGCCCTGAAACACAAAACTGCTCCCAGGAAAGGCGCTTGTGCAGCCATAGCTGCTAATTACACCATCATCCCTCCAGATGGTCCATCTCCCTCTGCAAGTCCAGCTTTGCTCTGGGTAGAATCCTAATTACAGTGGCCCGCAAGCTGTGATGTGATGAGGCTTCCTGTCCTGATGGCTGCCAAAAAGTGCCTGTGATCAGGAAACTCCTGCTGCTGGTGGAGTGCTGCTTCCAGGGTGGTGGAAGAAGCGAGTTTGTGCTGAGTTTCACAGCTCCATCTGGCTCTGGAGCAGGTTTTCCTGGAAGATCAGTTGTAGTTTGGAAGACTGTGTCATTGGAGAGCCATGTGCAGGTCAAAGAGCCTTGGTGTGCGTTGCTCCAAGGGAAATGAGAACGCAAGGGATGTTCCCAAGATCACACAGGGTTGTTGCAGGGCAGATGCTTTCATGAGAAGGTACCAAATGAGACCTCTCTTGCCTTCACCTTAGGGGCTCATAGAGCAGCTCTTTGTAACCCACAAAGTGCTGGTTTCAAGAGTGGTGAAGTCAGCCCTGGGGAAGCTCCTTGTACCCCCGAGCCCGGTGGCTGTGCTACTTTGCTACATCAGGCAGTGCACAGCATACCCAGCTTTCATCTGGGCTCTGGGGGTGTTAAACCCCTTTCTCCACTACCACAGGGTGCAGAAAGCCCTGATCCCCGTGTCTGATTTGACAGATTTCAGAGCTAAAGAGTTTCTTGGAAGGTGAATGGGATATGTACCGGTGGCCTCTCAAACCTGGAGGTTTTAGAGGCAAGTGTCCTTCTTGAGGCTGTGATTGCTCTGCCCTGGGCTGCATCATGTGTTACAGAGGTGCAGAGCCCACCAAGGACCTCCCTGGCTGTAAGCAGAGATATCCCAGTTCTCTCCACATTTGAAGGTGTGAAGGAGCTTTTTGCATTTCAACCGAGCCCCTCTCAGTGTACCCACCGTGGTCAAAACAGAGCCGATGGGGTTCTGCCAGCTGCCTGCCAGTTAAAAGTTACTTCTCGGGCATCTCTCCTCCTGCCTCTGTTTCTTCTCTCAAGTTCCCCAGCTGTCTTTGCACATCCCTGTGCCTCGGTGTGTTTTAATCCTCTGCAAGCTCCCGCAGTCCCCAACACTGCGTGACAAACTCGGCTGGTTGTAGTGTCTGATCTCCTAACGAACGCTGTGCTAGCCTAGCACTCGGCCTTTTCTTCAGCTTGTTTTATATGGAAATTTCCTCCAAGTGAGACCGATTTCTGGGAAAGGAAAGAGAAGGCTTTTAGGGAGTCTTGGAGGAAAAACAATTCTCAAGGGTTTTTTGTCTCTTGAACCTAAAGTGTAGAAACTGGGAAGAAGATATTACAGTTCTGTGTAGAGGTGTCGGAGCACTCTGCAATGGGAGGGGGAGTAACTTTAATTACGAGTGAACAATGCCCAGTTCCTCTGTGTTACTCTTGCCTGTTCCTGAAGCTGGATGAGCCCTCAATGCCCATCTCAAGTACATAATTGACGGAGGAGAACCAAATTCCCCAGGAGCATTGCTTAGGGTTTATTTCCCCTCAGCTCAGCCTTGCAGCAATTGCTCTCTCCTTAAAGTGCAGTTGCCAAATGACTCCTGCTTGACTCAGGGGTTTAGGGGACCAATTTCAAGCAATTGTAGGGAATAACACTAGTTTGGCACCCACTAGAGCCAAGTTTATTCAGTAGTTAGGTACATTCAGAAACAGATAGGAATAGAAAATTGAAGAATTACCCATTTATCTTCTACCCACATCTCGCTTGGCCGTTATCATTTGCGTGTTGCTTTTTCCCTTATCGGCTAACTGATTATATAGAATCTCAGATCCCTGCAGCTCTGAGCACAGCAGATAAAGCCAGCTGTAGGAACTGGCACCTTCTCATTTTGAGCAGTGCGAGGGCTGGTGGGTCTCGCTAATGCTCATCAAACAGCATGAAAAGTCCTGGGCTCTTTTTGCTCGCTGCTCTGCCCCAGAGCATGGCTGGGGAAAAGGCACATCCCTGCCATGCTGCAATTAGAGCATTTGCTTATCTTAGCTGTAACAGAGCCATAAACTTTATCCAGGCCAATTAAATCAGATACGCAGTAAACATGCAGTTTGCATTAATGTGGGCTCTTTCTTTCCTTATGTAAGTACAGAAGGAATTTGGGGTGGCCTGTGGCTGGGTCTCTTTTAGTTAGTTAGCTCACGCATCACAAGGATGTGTCGAGAGGCAAATTTATTGGAAAGCTGCTTTGCCCTCAGCTTTTCGGAAGCATGTTCTGAGATCAAAAGAGCAATGGAAAATCCGTAGATAGAAACAAAAAGTTCCCTACATTTCTGGGAAGCACCTGGCCTACTGGGATTTTTCTTTCTATACCCTCGCATTTCAACTACCCTATTCACTTGGGAAAACCCAGGTTGATCTTTAATTGAAAGAGCAACCTGGTGCCTTACAGGATGCAAAAAGCTTTGTAGGGCTGATGTCTCAACTGCGGATTACCGTCCCCAGTCTGATGGGCCTGAAGGGCAAAGGGGAAATAACATACCCAAAACAGGGACAGAAACAAAGGGTGCTGGTCATAGAATCATAGAACAGTTAGGGTTGGAAAGGACCTTAAGATATCATACAGTTCCAACCCCCCCTGCCATGGGCAGGGACACCTCACACTAAACCATGGCACCCAAGGCTTCATCCAGCCTGGCCTTGAACACTGCCAGGGATGGAGCATTCACAACCTCCCTGGGCAACCCATTCCAGTCCCTCACCACCCTCACAGTAAAGAACTTCCTCCTTATATCCAATCAAAACTTCCCCTGTTTCAGTTTGAACCCGTTACCCCTTGTCCTATCACTACAGTCCCTAATGAAGAGTCCCTCCCCAGCATCCCTATAGCCCCCCTTCAGATACTGGCAGGCTGCTCTGAGGTCTCCACGCAGCCTTCTCTTCTCCAGGCTGAAAAGCCCCAACTTTCTCAGCCTATCTTCATATGGGAAGTGCTGTTGCTGAAACAAGGGATGCATCATTTGTTCTCATCCTCTTTCTTCCCCCTCCAGGACATACAACCTTACCTTCCTGCATCCGTACTACCGGACCGACGAAGCGGAGGAGAACCCATTCATCTGCTCATCGCATCGTGAAAACGGCATGCAGAAATGCTCCAACATCCCAACCAGGAAGGAGTACAAGGTGGAGTGCACCTTGAGCATGGACTCCTACACCCCAAGTTTATACAACCCTGACTTCAGCAGCAGGAATGCCTGCATAAACTGGAACCAGTATTACAATGTATGCATGGCAGGGGATGTAAACCCACACAATGGAGCTATCAATTTTGATAACATTGGATATGCTTGGATAGCTATTTTTCAGGTAGGATTCTCCTAAAGATTTTTCTGTTTCTTTTTGTTTTATCTTTTGCTCAGAAAGATTCTGATAGATGCATCAGAGGAGGAAAGAATTTACTTGCACCTGCATGAAACTGCAGATAAAGATACATCAAGTAAATGAATTGGACAATAACCCGCACAAGGGTTGCAAGAGAGCATTTGGAGGGAATAGACATTTTTCCAGAGCATTTTAGAAGAGGAGGAAAATACTTCTTGAGGCAGGCAAAAGTATGGCAAGTTCTGGCACTGCAAATGAGATCGAAATAAATCCCAGGGGCTTTGGAGAGGTGGGGTCTTTATTGCTGTAGTATCAGGAATTGGAGAGTGGTGTTAAAGTCCTTTCTAAAGTCCATTCTAAAGCTTGATAGCATGGTTTGAGCTTGATTCTGGAATGACAGGGTTATACGGGTTAGTGTGGTATGCTGGAGGGAGGAAGAAATTGTTCTGGCTAGAATACCTGTGGAGAGATACTACTCATGGAATTTGGGTCTCTCTTAATGCACACCTACACAGCTCTTCACTAGAGACCAAAGTGCTCTGAGCTCAGGCTGGGGGAGCCTTTACTCCAGCAACTAAAGCATTTTCAAAGCTCTGGAACAGTGGGTAGCTCATCTACACAATCCAGAGGCTCTGGTCTCTTTGGGATGGCCTGTTTTAAGATGATCAATGAACTGTTTTCCATTGTAAATTGAAACTTAAATTGCACTGTCTGGTTTCAATACATATTTCATTATGCTTTTGGCTAGATGCCCTGTTTTGTTTAGTCTTTCTGAAGTGTAAGTGACATCTAATCCTAAAAGAGAAAAAAAAATTTCCTTTAGTTCTGTTAATGATCATAGAATCAGAGAATAGTTTGGGTTGGAAAGGACCTTAAGATCATCCAGTTCCAACCCCCTGCCACGGGCAGGGACACCTCACACTAAACCATGCCACCCAAGGCTCTGTCTAGCCTGGCCTTGAACACCACCTGAGATGGAGCATTCACAACTTCCTTGACCAACCCATTCCAGTGCCTCACCACCCTCACAGTAAAGAACTTCTTCCTTACATTCAACTTAAACTTCCCCTGTTTCAGTTTGAACCCGTTAGCCCTTGTCCTATCACTACAGTCCCTAATGAAGAGTCCATCCCCAACATCCTTATAATCCCCCTTCAGATACTGGAAGGCTGCTATGAGGCCTATTCTTTATGATGAATAATTACTCATTCAGAGCTCTGCTTTTCATTTATGAATTTCCTTCTCACTTCATATTAAAATACAAACTTAACTTCCATTTTCATCTGAGTTGTAAAGGGGTGATAGCTTGCTCTTAGCATCCCGCCTGCTCTCTTACTGTCACAGTAGCTCACCTTGAATCACACTGGTGCTGGTGTCAAAGGCTTAAAACCAAATCCAGAAGGGTTCAGGCAGATCCCAAGTCTCTACAAGGGTACGTTTCTTAGAATGCTTTAGTTCTTTCCTGGAGTTAGTATGGCAAGAGAGGAGCTGCCATAGTAATTGTGAATATTCCTGACTGGTAGTGAGTGTTGCATAAAGGAAAGGGGGAGATCAAAGTGAGAATGGTGGATAGGTCTCTGGCTGCACTTGCATTCTCCTTTTTCTGCTCTTGCATAGTTCTTTGGAGCTTGATGGATGTGCCCAGGAGGTCCCATCTGGCTCCCACCACAGGGCAGCAATGTTCTTGCCAGAGAAAGGGCAGAGGGTATTGCTTTGCAGAGTGCCTGTGTTAGTGCATTGAAAATGAGCAGGTGCTTCTTGAGGGGTCCTGCTTCCTTTGTACTTCCAGAGCCTTTTTGCAGGCTGCATGTTTTAATTTCTTGTTGGTATTTCATTTTCTCAGCCTGAAAATGCACAGTTTTAACCCAGGAAAAGCACACCAGTGACCACAGAGGCTTCAACCGATTCCTTTGGGCAGAGCAGAGTGTCTGGCAAAGTTGGATATTGTATCCACAGATCATTTTGGCGGCTGCTAGGAGGTTTATGATTGGGTTTAGTGCTGCTTAGGCCATCCAAATGCTAAAGGGTATTTCCAACCAAAGACTCTTCTTACATCTTTATTCCTTTTAGAAATAAGGACTCATTCTTAGAAGCTGAAAACATTCTAACTCCAGATAAAGAAGCAGCTGTTGGGAGGAAAGTGCTTGCTTGACTTTGATATGGAAAGAGTGAATCATTACAGTAATAGGTGGGATGCTAAATCAAAACAATTGCTGTAAGCAGAGAACATTTAACAAATATAGCTTTTGAGTTGTGCTCTCATTAAATTTAATAGTTGAAGCTGGGTAGCGCCGGGTCAGCAGTCAGATGAGGCCTCAAAGCAAGTAGTGCAGAAAGTAGAACTGATGGGTTTAGTACCTCAGGAGCTTCCTAGTGAATTGGTATTGAATTACTGGGCAGAAAGCACTCTGCTTTGTTCTGGATGAGACGGGTCCAACCGTTCTGATCTTTTCTGGGGAATAATGAATACTTGGTACTTTGTAAGAGTTACGGTGGTGGACTGAACCTCAAGGGCTGGCAAGCCTCCAGTTTGCATAATGGTAATCTTATGACTCAGCTGGATCAAGCATCCCTCATGATTTATCCCCAATGAGTTGGAAATGTAGCATGGTTTAAGAGCTGTCAGGAGCGAGGTTGGTGAAATGAGCCCCACAGGGGAGATTTGGAAGGAAGTTTCCAAGTGCAGTGAGTGCAGGTTGTGCCCAAGAGTTTCCAAGGGCGCAGTGTGATACCATGCAGACTGTGAACAGGCAAAACCAAAAGCAGGCTTTGACAAGGAAATCTGAAGATCTCTAAAACATCCTTATGAAAGGTGTACTAAAGCACAAGGCTAGCAGTATGGCCAAGCTTTTTCAGCTGCCAGAGTTTGGATTTAAGCAGCCGCCAAGCTGAAAGACATTGAACTTCATGGTAGTGATCCTGAACTTGCAAGTAACCTGACACGTGGCAACGGGGTGTACTAAGCAGAGAAATGCACTGTTGACCTTCCAAGTAGAAGTGAATGTCAGAGGCATCAGACAGGAGAACCAACCAAGTGCAACTAGAAGACCTTAAAGTAATAAAGATGCTGCTGCATCTATGGGTGTTTGAAAGGATAATCATTCATTATGTAATCCTGCGAATGATTCATGTTTTGATTCCCCTCATTTGTTGTGTAATAGGCTAATTCATGTATATATTTGTTACAAAGGCACGTTCAATAGCAAATTATGTGAACTAATTAGCTTATTACAGGATAAATGAAAGGAGATGGAACCTAAATTAACTGTGAGGTTTGGCATGATATTAAGTTCCCTTTATTGCACATGAATTTCAGCCACAACAATGAGAGCAGTAATTACAGGTATTGTTGTCACACTGCAGTGATGAATTACCCACCTAACCAAAGTCCAGTTTAATTTGGATTACTGACAGGCTCAGTGGAGCAACCAAAGCATTGCCACCTTCCTCACTGCCAGTGTTGTGTGGCCAGGCCTGAATGCAGAAACCCTGTTAAAAGAGAAGGGGGTTGGATGGGTGGTGAGATACAGTTTGGGAGGATGAGATTATTTAGGCAATTTTGCAACCTACAGAGCCCTTGCTGGGATGGTTTCAAGTCTGACATGCAGAAAAGCAAGGTTTATGCTAGCACTGAGGAGGCAATGCTTTTGGCAAAACTTGTGAGGCAACTTCCAAGGAGCATTAACAGAGGCAGAACCAAGAGGAGATCAAGGGAATGAGTTGTTCCTCTGTGTCTCCTTCCAGGATATAGTTGAAAGGACTGAACTTTGAGAGCAAATGTACAGGGAAACTTATCCATTCAATACAAGAGAGAAGTCTTGCTGGTGCTGGCTGAGTTACCTTTCCTCTGACCTCTTCTTCACATGTATTTCAGAAGTAGCTGTATTTTGAAAGGGGTTCCTTAATGGAAGACCCTCTTGAAATTCGTCCTCGGATGCAGCTCTCAGTTCATGAGGCTGTTTCTGTTGTATGTTGTTCTGAGTTCCTACTGCTTCTACGAGGCTTTTCTTAAGAAGACATCTCAGTTAACAAGTTAATCAAGGCATACAAGTGATACATCTCTGGCCCATCGTGAGAAGGCTCTGGCAAGGGAATCCTCAGAGGAGACTTCTGCATTCAGCAGCCCCCTTGCTGCTGTCAGGGAATAAAAACAAAACAGGTTGTGTTCATGAGAACTGAAGACAGCCCAGCAGGCACACGTCATGATAAGAATGCCCAAGAACAGAAAAGCTGAATCACTTCATGAAGGAAGATGTCTGGAGTGGAGCAGCGTTAAAGGAACTCTTAGCAGCAGCAAGAGTTCAAGGTGCTATCTTGATAGCATGCTTATGTGGGTAAGTCCGGCTTGCTCCTGGTCTCACCAAGGAGTATGCTGTAGCCATGGAGGTGTGGGTGAGCAGCTCAGGGGAGAAAACAAGGTGAGGTGGGTAAGCAAGGGAATTGATGCCACCCACTTTGTCCTTCATTTGTCCTCCTGCGGATGGCAGGCTGCCTGAGCAGGTGTGACAGTTGGCAGTGACAGCCGTATGCTGCCGCCCGCCTGCCGAAATACCCCTTTCATTTGCATGTGAAGGTACCTCTTCCTTGCTCTAGCTCGTCAGAAAAGCCCCTGGGAGCTTGTGGAAGCTATCTCAATGCATTTCTTCATCTTGACCCTGTGCTGTGTGTGAAGAGGAGCTTGTTTTATGTCTGTGCTGCTGACACTGCTGCTGACAGAATCTGTGCCCGTAGATGGGCACAGGGGGATCTCAGGGGGAGACTTCAGGTTTGGAGAGAGGAAGGTTCCTTTGTCTCATTTCACTGTGGTTTGGTGCCCTGATCTGTTCCACAGCTGTTGCCCGCTTTGTTTTAGCCTCTGCTCATCATGATTGAAATCCTTCCCTGAGATTTTTCTCCCTTGCCTGGAAATCTTTCAGCTAAATCTGTGATGGGAGCCATATCTTCATTAGAATTAAAGGAAAAATAGTGCACATTTTAATGCATTT